TTTGTTGGTTTATGCTGAGGAAATGCATTGATTGTCGTTAGTTTAATTAGTGCGTTCGTCTCTATGAGAATAAAAGATGTAGATGGTAACACTGGGACGCTTGCTATGTATGTTAGATGTTTAGGAAAGTTATTAACATTTCCATTAAAAAGTTTATGGAATAATTTATATTATACTAGCTATACTCGCGGCTTCGTCCACGTGGAAATTTAACTTTATATTTCCAAAAAAAAGTAGCTTAAGTTACTCCTTATTACATCAAGTACCTAGCAAAAAAAGTCCCGTCAAAATCGGTCTAGCCATTTCAGAGATTAACCGGAACAAACAGAGAGACCGTATTTATATTCATATGCATGTAGGTAAAAAACGATATTACAAATATACACTCCAATTTTATTTATATGTATAGATTAATAAACTGATTATCACTCAATATAATATTTAAATCATCTGTCGATGACGCTTATTGAACAATTAAATAATGATTTGTATAATTCATAGCTTTATAATCAAAATTTGATCACATATGAATCTAGATTGACTCTTCAATATAGCGTTACCTTTATCCCATAATTTGGGATCAGTGCAGCCTGTGATATAGTTTAATTTCGACTCTAGATAATCCAAATACTAGTCCGATCTTTATAAAATTTATATGGAAACACATGAGACCCAATAACTTTCATACAATAAAAATCACAATCGATGTATATAGAAAAAAACTATTTAAGCAACACACATAAATAAAAGCAGAGAAACTAGTCTAATTGAAAATCATCTCCTTTTGAAATCGGTGGGTTAAACAACAGTAAAAACAAAATAACACAATCTATTTCAAAAATCCTCCTTTTTGAACCAAGCCTCTTTTGGAGTCCTATAATCAAAAGGGACTTGGTTCGCCTGTTCTCATCAGACTAGCAAAAAAATAATAACTTCCCGAGTTCGTTGACGAAATCCGCATCAATGAAACACCGATTTGTACGGAAATCCGTTTGCAAACACGCAGATATTAAATTGCAAGTACGTAGACGAGGTTCCATGGCAGGATCAGACCAAATATTAAACTTGGCCCAAAGAAATATATTGCATGGCAACCGGTGGATTAAGTCAACGTCAACACAGACTGTACAGTTAGTTGTACAGTTAGTTCAATCACAGATATTCCTAGATTTGAATATGACTGTATCAGTTGTCCGTATACATAGTATGTGTGTATAAGTGTGTTCAATAGTAACTATCTTCATCTTAAAAATATTATAAACGCGAAAGTTTGTAAGTATGGATGTTTATTACTCCTTCACTCAAAAACTACTGAACGGATTTTGATGAAACTTTACAGTAACATAGCTTGTACATCAGAATACACATAGGCTGCAATTCAAATAGATATTTTCAGATAGCACTATCTAATCCCAAGGTAAGCAGAGCCTGTACTAGACCAGTTGTCTAGTACCCGTAACACATGCTAGCTAGTTTTTGCAACAAAGTGTAAATACTTAGAGACATTTTTATTGTAAATACATATATAATACGTATAAAACACACAGAGCACTACAAACAATCATACTCATGAATACATTAGCATCGTGCGAGGAAACAAACCCGCGACCATTGGATACAAAACGGTGTTCTAAACCGCTAGATCATCGGGGTTGTTATAAATCACTTAGTTATCTAATCTGTCAGATGAAAAAGGAGAAACGACAATATTATTTATGCAACATCATTAATAATACTAGTATTTATTATTATTCGAATGTAAGATCCCGCAAACATTGAAAACAAAACTGTACAACCATGCGTTCTACCAGTGTTAATATACTCTTGTGAAACATGGACGCTAACCACCGAAAGAGTCAACAAGCTACAAGTCACCCAAAGAGCAATGGAGTGGTCTATGCTCGGTATCTCCCTATGAGACAGACTGCGGAATACCGAGAACAGAATACCCACTGAAGTTATCAACATCATCCAAAGAATGACGCAGCTAAAGTGGCGTTGGGCCGGCCATGTCTGTCGAAACAAATATGATAAATCTTAGAACCTTAATGTAACCTAGGATGGAAAGAAGAAGCGTAGACAGACCAACTGTCGGATGGCCGGATAACATCAAAAAGGGCATAACATCACGGCAGGGCTGACCTGGATAAGATGCGCAGATCGAAGAAAGTGAAATTATGCACGAGGCATACGTCCAGCAGTGCAGGGGCGGATCATGATATTGTGGGTCCCTGGGTTAAATCTACTTAAGGGCCCATCTATATTACTCAACTAAAAAAATACACCGACCTAAAACAAGCGACGAGAAATTCCCCGTTCCTTTCAATAGATGCGCACTTGCATGGGTTGTTTGATCTTAGGGTTGCCAACCTTATGATAAGTTTTATAACATTCTGGATATTTTTTTATATTTTAAATATCGTTTCAGTGGGGACTGGGGGCCTTTGTATCCTCGGGGCCGTGGACTGCAGCCCAAAAAGCCTTTAGGTAGATCCGCCCCTGCAACAGTGGACTAATAGATGCTGATGAACAAGCATCAATATTAATTATGCGGATATATATAACTTGCCACTTCACTAACGATGTCTATAAACTTCCAAACACTTCCAATGGCGCGCTCATTAGCATTTAAAGCGAAGCAATAAAAGCTCTTGATAAAACTAACTTTTAAGCATTCAGTTTTTTTGTGTTCACTATCGACGGACTCGATGGGCTAGCGGTTTAGGACACCGCTTTACTTCCGATGGTCGCGGACTCGATTCCAGACAAACATTTGCATTCATGAGTACGATTGTTTGTATCGGTCTAAGTGTTTTCTTTGTAAAATCTTATGTAAGTATGTATTATGTATTACAAAAAATATTATGTTATTATTTATTTATACAAAAAATATATATAGTTGTCCATAGCACAAGATCTGCCTAGCTTGGGACTAGATGGCGCTGTGTGAATTCTTCTGAGATACAAAAAGATTTTTACTCCCTCTTTTCATTTCACTTATTGATGATTTCTTACGACTCCAGAATTAATCAATATCTATAGAAATAAATAAAATTATAGTGTCTGTTTGTAATTTCAAATTAACTATTTTCACTAAATGCGTATGAAAGTTTTTTTTTATCTGTCTGTTTGTTGTTGTTATCTGAAATGACACAGATAGCTAATATTATAAGAAGTCACTTAAGCCTACTTTTATTTTAGATTATTTTTTATTTTCATTTAAAAAAAAATACTTCATGCGCAAGAAGTCGCAGACAATAACAGCTAGAAAAATCAAATAAAAAAAAATCTATTTATGTAGGTCTATTACAGACTCATATGATATGTGAAATTTAGTTCGAAATGTGTTCGAACTAAGAAGAACTAATAAGACTATGCTCTTATTCTAGTCAAATGGATATGATTACAATAATATAGATTAATTTTTAAATTCAATTAAGTAGAATATAGGGACCACCAGGATATGCTATTGCATTTTTGTCAAAAGAAAGTATTGTAATCAGTGGTTTTAATCGAATAAAGTACTTAAATACACACCTACAGCTGTCTCACGTTTTATTTTTAAAGGAAAATTGAACGGATCGTCACACAATTTCATTTGTTTATGCTTTTGTTAGATATCAAAGTTGATAAGAAAAAAACATACTCGATACGTACATACTCGTAATCGGATTATGCGAAGCCGTCGATAATTTACCTTGAAATCTTTCAACTCACGTAAAGTACATTTTAATTTGTATGTAAATGGGATTAAGTTGGGATTGAGATATCAAAAGTTACTTCATTTGGAATGTGAACATTTGTCTTTTAAATACATTATCGATACAGAGTATGTGACTTTTTAGCTCCTCTAATTGAAAGAAGAAAGAAAATAACTTATTTTCTTTCTTTCTTTCTTTCAATTAGTTGGTACAAATAACAATAACAAAAATTATTTTTAAAAATTTTAAATTACATACCGGTTTATGTCTATTAGATAGTACCAAATAGGTCTCCGCTCAGCATGTCATGACGGGGTGCCACGACGCTGGTATTCTGCTTCTAGACTAGACCTCTAAGAGGTAGTGACTTCTTAGGTCTCAAATTCATACTCTAAATAATTTTGTCCCTTTCTATTCAGATAAAAAAAAATACTTTTTCCAAATATATGTACCGTAATTATAGTGAATATTGAAAACGTTTTATCTGTTTACTTCAGTTTCTAAAGAATAATTGTCTTTAAACCTTTTTGATCATATGAGTATATAGCACATAAATTACTAATTAATTTATTCTATTACTGTTATTTTAATACTAGCTATGCCCTTGATGTCTCCCGCATTAAATTTATATCATGTATGTTATCCTGATATACAAGCTATATTACTGTAAAGTTTCATTAAAATCCATTTAGTAGTTTCTGCGTGAAAGAGTAACAATATGCATGCATCAATCACATGATATCACAAACTTCCACGTTTATAATATTAGTATGTAGGTAGATTTATAAATGTTTAAAAAAATAAAAAAAGAATCTGTGGTTATATTCATTTCATTTGTACTTGTTATGCATGTAGTTACTAATTCTATTACTTAAATATAGACTGAATTCTATTGAAACAAGATTCAATTTTGAATAAACATACATATATTGTAGTGTCAACAAGTGGATATGATTTGAACGACGGCATGATATTTCAAATTTCGAATTGTAGATTCTTAATTCAAAAAGAATAACAAAAAGTATTCCGAAAGGATAAGTGAACAGTTTATCCAAAGCCCAAATTATTTAAAAAAGCCGATAAAAAACATGTTTATAACTTGATACGGCGGCTCATCAAAATTTATTTAACGTTAAATAACATTTTATTAGTAATTCGCATACGGCGCAGACCTGTCATCGACAATATACGAAAATTGGTGTTCTAAATTCAATTTTGTTACTCTGATAAAAAGTTATAACATTGCGGAAATAATTAATTGATAATTATAATAATTAATTTATTGTCATTTTAATAAAAATGTTAATATTGTTATTATATTTTATGACGTTTTATGGTGTTGGTAATACGGTATATTATGACTCGTTCCACGGTACTGTTATCGGTATAGAGGAAATGAAAGAACATGTGAAGAAAAATACTACATTGTAAGTAAAATTCAATATTTATTTTTATAGAAAAGACTTCAAAATTATTTTATCGCCTAATTATATTTGTATTTGTAATAGATTTTATAATTATACTGTACTTTATAGTTTGTTATCCCACATATTTGCACATTCTTACCCGAATCTGCGTTTTTAATTATGCCAAATTACGTTTGTATTTATAAAAAGATTTTATCATTTGGAGCTGTTTAGTAGTTTATATTCACATATATTTGCCAATCCTGACTGTATCAGCACTTAAAGTTTTACAAGTAGAAATTTAAAAATGTTGTTCAAAAGTGCTTAAAATTAATAACAATAGTCAATATTAATAAGAAAAAGAGGTAAAGTTTGTGAGGTTACAGAGGGTAATCTCTGGATATACTGGACCCATTTTGAAAATTCTTTCAGTGTTACATAGCCCATTTATCGAGGAATATTATAGAGTATTATTAGTATAAGATTATGCTATGACTAATAGGAACTGAGCTGCAAATAAAAATGTTACAAAAACAAGTCTTTTATATTAATATTTTTTCCCTACCGTAAAGTTCAGTGTATAGATTCAATTGAGAAGAATTACCAAGAAACAAAACTGAATTACTTTTCTTTAAAGTCAGTTTCAGTCAGTCAGTCTACATCTATCATTAAAAAAATCATATCTTTTTGCTAACTTTCTGTGGTCGCAGGTTCGATTCCTCGCGCGGCACAAACATTTGTATTCATGAGTATGACTGTTTATAACAGTCTGGGTGTTTTCTATGTCTATTATGTATGTATTCAAAAAATGTAGTTATTTGTTGGGTCAGTAGTCTAGTACCCATAACACAAGCTCTGCTTAGCTTGAAACTAAATGGCGATGTATGTATAGTTCAGGGTTATAATTATATTCTTATTATATATTGTTTTCTATGTGTAATATGTATGTATTTAAGAAAAAAAACATCTATGTATTTGTATCAGTTATCTAGTACCCATAATACAAGCTTTAGCTAGCTTAACTTGGTTCTAGATGGCGCTGTGTGAATTGTCCTGAGATTATTATTATTATAATAATTTGTATAAATATTTTTAGCTGGTGTACCAACGAAATAGCACCGTGCAATCCCAATGAAGGTAGACGAATAGATGGGTCATGTAATAATTTGGAGCATCCCACCAGAGGGGCAACCCATACTCCATTTTATAGGGTCCTGCCAGCAGTCTATGATGAAGGTATGCCTAATAATAAACCTCATCCCATTATCACAAGAGAGTCCTGTAACCTGTTTTATTGTATATATCGATATTATTATATTATCTATACATCATTACATAGTATAAAACAAAGTCTGTCTATCCCTATGTATGCTTAAATCTTTAAAATTACGCAACGGATTTTGAATAGATTGAGCAGGTTTTTTAATAGATTGAGTGATTCAAGAGGAAGGTTTATATGTATAATACATGTACACCCGAGCGTAGCCGGAGCGAGTAGCTAGTATAAATAAAATTGGAGTGTCTGTTTGTAATATTTAAATAATTGTTTTTTACTACAGGTGTATGAATATAAATATGGTAATATACACCAAAATACAAGTTTTACTCTGTTGGAAAACTTATGTAATTGTTATTTTCTTTCTGTGAGGGAACATTAAAGAGTTTTTCATTCATTCATTCATTCATATATACACAATTGTTTATCTTTTTGATGATAATGGAATGATGCTGTGCTAACGGTTTACGGTGGAGGATGATATGATGCGTTTGAGGTCATAAGCATTGTTCATGAGTGTAACATATATACAAATTAGTATTAAATAAAATGTATAGTAAGTTAAATACAGGTGTATAAATATTTTTATCCAAATTTGTTTCACGTATATAATGTCTGTATTTACAAAAAAAATGTACTCGTGTATTTGTATCAGATGTCTAGTACCCATAACGCAAATAGGCACCGTGTGAGCTGTTGTGTAATTATTTTTATAATGCATTGGTTATTCTAAAAATAAAGTTATCATTGTTAATTACAAAAAATATATACGTCTTGAATGGACTTTTTCTGAAGTTAAATTCATCAACATTATCCTCAATAAACGTATTCTTTATTGTAGGTATAAAAAACCTCACTAAACCTGAATTGATCAATTAACATAATGGACATATAACATAAGTAAATATCCTTATCCTTAAATTTTCATCCAAAACATTATACGATTCTTGTGCTTAAAATAGTAATAACATTGTATTCCACCTTTAAAATCTTGAAATTTCAAATTTAATCATTAATTTCCAATTAAATATTAATCGGATAACCGATATGATGAATGATAATAACGATTCAAGCAAATTATATTAATTAAAATTTAAATATCGAACCGATTTCGAATCTTTTCAAAATAAGGCTAAGAAATGGCATTTCTAATTTCCGACAAAAATTAATTTAAATTCAAATTTCGAATTGTAAGAAAGTCAAAATCAGGTAAAGGAATGTCATTGACTTGAAGGCGTAGATTCGTCAGACTGAACTCATTCGTTTATGACAATAAATACTCCAATTTCTAGGTTATAAAAAAATAACATTAATTTAAATTTAAACTTCGAACAAACAACTGCCACTGGCGCGAAAGCTGTGTACACATCTCCTATTAGACAAACGTATACCAAGTCAGACCTTCTCGTAACATTAATTTAAATTTAAATTTCGAACAGATTTCGAGCCCAGAAAATCGAAATCGGGCAAGGAGCTGCCATTGGCGCGAAAGTTACGTACTCACCTACTATCAGACGGACGCGTACCAAGCCAGAAGTTTACGCAACTCGCTACCCACTTCTTCGTCTTCATTCCGGCTGATATAGTCTCCTTACAAGACACTGGTATGTATAATTAGTTACTACTACTTGGCTGACAACCCTTGGCTAAAGGGTATAGGAGATTGTTATTATTGGGGATATAGGAATATGACATACTACATGCTGGAGGGGCACCAGTGTAGGATAACAATTTTTTATATAGAGCACCTGGATCGTGGTTCCTTTGGCAGGTACCAGGTAACAAAGGTGTAAAAAAAATCATACCAAATTCGTTATTTTAAGAAACTCCATATTTTCATATATTGTTCGTAGCATTATTATAACTTACGCTGCTCATTGCCAGACATTTGAGTTTCCTAAATTGCCAGACAGTTTTCTTGGTTCCTTATCATACCAGACTCATTGAAACCGTATATTGGGTAACAACGGTGTATACAATTTCATATCAAATTCGTTATTTTAAGATGCTCCATTTTTTCACATATTGCTCGTAACAGTATTATAACTTGCTCTGCTCGTTGTCAGACCCTTAGTGTGGTTCCAACCCCCCGCCGGACCCCCCTAAACTATACTATTTTATAAATAAACTTACGTCATTTTAATAAAGCTGAACTTTATATATATTATTGAGAGAACTATTAAACTGAGTTTCCTAAATTGCCAGACAGTTTTCTTGGTTCCTTATCCTACCAGACTCATTGAAACCGTATATTGGGTAACAACGGTGTATACAATTTATGCCCATCGTAGTTCCTCAATAATATATATAAAGCGAATTCACTGCGGATTAAAGACCGCAATGGGATCTCCAGGTCCCACTATACTAAATCTTTTCCAACATTGTTTTATCGGCCATTTTTTATATATGGCATTTGTTTAGGAGCTACGCTGCCACAAACAGGCATATCAACATAATACTTATAACATCCCTCTTTTTGCGTGGGGGGCTAGAAATATAACTAAAATATATATTTTCAATGTTCTAGTGAACTTTATAGTATGGAAACCGTACTGCTGTTTGCCTAAAGGTAAAACTGACAGGGACTGTATACCAAGCATTGTCCCTGATGATGACCCAGTATTCCGTTTCTCTGATATCCGCTGCTTGAATCTGACTAGACCTGCCTCTTTTCAATCCACCGGATGTATCAAAAATGATACTGTTCCAGAGAGGGTAAGTTTATAACTGGGAAATTTTCTTTAAGGCATTTAATAATAAACCGGGATATTTCACACAGCTAAACAGTGTCCTGCTCTGTTTAGCTTGGGATTAGATGGCGCCGTGTCCTGCAGAGAGTCTTGCTCCTTGCCATACTAATTACATGAGATAAAAATTGGACTTGGTATCTTGAATGAAAAATATGCAAAATGAATACTCAAATGTCTTTTAAAATTATTACTTCTATTTTGCCAACTAACCGCTCCGGCTTTGCACGGGTGTATTTATAAATATATATAAACCTTCCTCTTGAATCACTCTATCTATTAAAAAAACAAAATTCAAAATTCAAAATCCGTTGCGTAATTTTAAAGATTTAAGCATACATAGGGACCGACAGACAGCGACAGCGACTTTGTTTCATACTATGTAGTGATGATAAAGATACATTTGCAGATAGTAACATCAACACCGTTATTCGACATGTCAAATATATACGGGAATTTGGAAAATAATTTAATGAAGAAAGGTCGAAAATTTGAACGTGGTTTATTGAAATATGAAGTTGAAAATGGCAGGGTATGGCCACCGAGTACCAAGACACAGGTAGACTTATGTTTGCTCAACCAGAAACCAGCTGAAACCAGATGTCATGATACGCGTAAGTACTTATATGAAGGAACTCTAGAAGTCGCTTATATTTTAATGACTAATCAATGTAAACAAAAAATCAGTACAGAAAATAAAATATTACATACTATGTGTGCCCGTACCTTGTAATTGTAAAGTTACTGAGCGCAATCCCAATATTAATAAAAATAAAAAAAAAAGTCTGTTCAGTAGTTTTTGCAGTAAAAGTAACAAACATCCATCCATACTAACAAACTTTCGCGTTTATAATATTAAGATAAGATATATAGTACTTTTTAACAAGCTACTACAATAAAGTTAATGCCTATGGTAAACAAGCTGACTACCTGTCTGATGGTAAATCAAAAACATTCCCCACATACATAAACAGCATAGAATTTAGATGCTATGACGTGTTTATATTATCAACATCACCATTCTGATCACCTGGATAAATGACGATCCTCCATCATTCGTTTTTCAAGAAACTATTTGCCATGCATACCCACATTGTAGAATCACCTTCCAGTAATAATATTTCCATAGCGATATACTATTAAAACTTTCAAGAGAGGAGATTCCTTCTTAAAATACCGGCAAAACATTTCCAATTCCCCTGGTGTTGCGAGTGCTAAATGGCGACGGTAATCACTTACCATCAGGTGAGCCGCAAGCTCGTTTGTCGTCTGTGTTAAAAACAAAAAATGACCGAACAATGCAATGCAATAGTAGAGATATATTATTCATTTATAATTTAAGGGCTGTGCTCTTATCAGTGGAGCTCCCGCCACCTTCCACGATCTGCCATCAGTCCTTTTAGCTGTTGATACGACACGACTCCAACTTTTTCTTTAACCTGCTTGATATAGCTGTATCTTGGTCTTCTCCTTCTTCTCTTTCCTTTTTTTTTCTTTCGATCATATTATTAATAAGTTCGTCGTGTCGTATCAAGTGCCCCAACATTTCCCCCCGCCTATTCTGAATATCTATTATAAAGTCGTTTAGACTTTAATGAAAGTTACGGTCAGGCGTTTTTATAAAAACTATTTTACATGATTATGTCTATTTGTTTTGTATTTACAACAAAAAATATATATTTCTATTTGTTCACAGCTGAGGATGGAGCGAACACTGTTCTTGGGATCAATCTGTTTACAATTTGGTTTTGGAGGTACCACAATATGGTAGCCGATATACTGGCCAATTTAAACCCATGCTGGAGTGATGATCGTTTATTTTACACAGCTAGAGATATTAATATTGCTTCAGTTATGCAAATTTTCTACTATGAATTCCTTCCTACATTGTTGGGTAAGGTTTTACAATCGTATGTATTATCATTGGCTTATTTTTACATTATTTCATTTAACTTAGGGTAAATTCTATTATTGTATTTATATATTTATATATATAACTCAAAGGTGACTGACATAGTGATCTATCAACGCACAGCCCAAACCACTAGACGGATCGGGCTGAAATTTGGCATGCAGGTGGATGTTATGACGTAGGTATCCGCTAAGAAAGGATTTTGATTAATTCTGCCCCCAAGGAGATAAAATTGGGGATAAAAATTTGTATGAAACTTTGTCAATTTTAAACCGATCGGGCTAAGACTTTGCATGCATAAAACTACTTTGACGTAGACATCCCCTAAGAAAGGATTTTGATAAATTCCACCCCTAAGGGGACAAATTAACGCGAGCGAAGCCGCGGGCAAAAGCTAGTTTAATATATAAAATGTCATATTTATTAAATTTCCAGTATATCTTTACATATATAAAATAAAGTCGCCGCCAAATGATATCAGGTAACCCGGTACTACAACCGGTAGTCATAATTTTGTAATTAGACTAACTGATTGATTAGATGTATCGTTATTTTCTTATTAATTGTTTTCATAGCGACGAATGATATTCAATAATCACTTTTGTAATTGTTATTTAATTTGTTAAAATATTACATTTATTAAATTTCCAGAAAGTATATAATTTTATAGTGGAAAATTTATAAATTTTATATTTCTTTTAAAACTAAACATAAACTTTTGACAAATTTATTCATCTAGATAATTTCTTATTAAAAAAATTATAATCATTTTATATAAAGTAAGTATCATAATAGGATAAAATAAGTTTATAAGACGTTTTTTTTATTACTATAATAATATTAAAAAAACCATAAGGTTTTTAATGTTATTCTAGTAATAAAAAAGACCATATAGATCGTGGAGTCAAATGTGGCTGACACCAAAAAAATATGATTGTGTGTAAATTCATATTTATTACTTACTTATCGGTAAATTCATTGCATTCTTCTTCGGAACACCGATAACAAGATCAAATATTTATTATTAATTTTTATTTGAACAGTTTATATAACTTAATAGTACAACTAAGCACCTTAAAAATATAATATAATAATTGAAATATAATATCAAAAGGGGTCCCTTTAGGCAAGGTTCCGAAGATACTGGCAGCGGCCTCTTTGAATGGCTAGACTAATTCTTTGTCCGATTATTAATTCTTATTGTTTTCCTTGTGTAATTAGTATATATATAAATTAGTAAGTGTGTCTGTATGTATGCAATCTTCCTAAGTAGTCATATTGGGAAACTTAAGCTAAGTGATAGTATGACGTATATAAATAAAATCTATACACAAATAGTATGTTTTGTTGTTAGTATTTTCTCAAATTGTTATAGGTCGGAAAAATTTACTGCGTGACGGAGTTATATCATCATCATCAGGTTTTAGAGATTTATACAATTCTAATGTGTTGCCGCAATTATCTTTGGAGTTTCCATTTGTACTGCGATGGGCACATACTATACAGGAGAGTAATTTGAAGTGAGTGAATTATTTATTCTAATATCTAATATATAAAATTCTCGTAACACAGGTTTCATGTTTATACTCCTCCGAAACGACTTGACCGATTATGAGGAAATTTTATATGCATATTCAGTAGGTCTGAGAATAGGTTTATAACTATTTTTTATACCCCTAAGTGTTTAGTAGGCTGGCTCAATTTTGTTTTTATTGCTTCGATTTTTTTTTTATTTTTTTGTTGTTTTGCCTTAAATTAAAAAAAAAATTGGGGGCGGACTACCCCTAACATTTAGGGGGATGAAAAATAGATGTTGGCTGAATCTTAGACCTACTCAATACGCTCACAAAATTTCCAGAGAATCGGTCAAGCCGTTTCGGAGGAGTATGGGAACGAAAACTGTGACACGAAAATTTTATATATAACATTATGTGGCATTATAAAATACATACAACCCTAAATTTTTTCATCCTTCCACCCCCAACCCCTATTTTTAATAGCGATATTAGTACTGAAATTTATATGCCAAAACAACGTTTGGCGGGACAGCTAGTATAGTTATAAAATCCCCGAGTCACAGTGTTTGTAACAAAACTTCCGAAACGGCTTGACATATTCTTATAAAATTTTGTGTGTATATTCAGTAGATCTAAGAATAGGACGTAAACTATTTTTCATACTATTAAATGATAATGCAATCCATTTTCTTTACTATTTCAACAACATAAAACCACAAAATTGAGAAGCAAGCTGTTTTGTGGAAAATTTAGTGCCTTCTACACTAAAATACTATTTATAACGTTATATTTTTTACCGCTCTACATTCATCAACAGTTCTTTTTTTTAATAAATCCAAATTTTGCGTAGTAAATTCGTTAAATAAACTAACGCCTGCAGATAAAACTTGTACATGTAAAGTGCAATCGAAATCATTTTACGTTCTTGCCTGTTGTAGTCTTTCCTCTTTCATTTTACGTTCTTGCCTGTTATAGTCTTTCCTCTTTCATTTTACATTCTTGCCTGTTGTAGTCTTTCCTCTTTCATTTTACATTCTTGCCTGTTGTAGTCTTTCCTCTTTCATTTTACGTTCTTGCCAGTTGTAGTCTTTCCTCTTTCATTTTACATTCTTGCCTGTAGTAGTCTGGCCTGTATTGCTTAATTCATTTTCATGCAAGCTGTATCAAAATTTACATTTTTACCTATAGTGTTCTTTCCTATATATGTTTCTTTCTTTTTCAGATTTTATGACAAAGAAGGTCATTACCTACGACAATTTCCACTAGTGAATCTCACTTTGAGAACAGGTTTCTTGGCTGTAGATGATAATATTGACTATATAACGCAAGGCAGTTTTCGACAACCGAGCGGCAAAGTAGATTATACTGTGGACTTTGATGTATGTACTTACTATCGACTTTCGCATATTAATTTAATAATAATAATAATAATGGGTAAAAAAACAGCAAAAGCTGTGACTATAATAATAATAATAACTACGGGTATTGTACCCAAAACACTTGAAAATAGTCTGCAATCACTAAATATCAGAATAACAGATAGACTATAAATTTCGTGCTGGTAATACCGTGGGTACAGCTAGTATTATAAATATGAAAAGTCTATCTATTTGTCTGTTTAATACCAATTGACTTTCGATGGTTTCGATTTAAGCATACATAGGGACGGACAGACAGTTTTTTCGGACTACTCTATGCTAGGCCGCAGCTGGCCTTTACAGCTTCACCGGACGATAGGGCACGAGTGCAGATGGCACTCCAAACCTGCGGAAGGACTTATGGACTTTAGTCTGAGGACACCGCTAGGGGTTCGAACCTCGGCACAGGCCGTCGTAACATCGGTCCCCGTTTGAATTGGTCGGGGGATCGATTGGAGGGGACGGATAGACAGCGACAGCGACTTTGTTTTATAGTATAAAACAAAGTCGCTGTCGCTGTCTGTCATGCCTATAAAATTTATACTATGTAATGATGGCACTACATAACTCCGTGACATTAGACAAAGTTACTTATCTAACGTACACTGACACAATCTATGGGTGAAATGCATTACTATATCACAATAGTAACAAAGATCCCATATTACAGATGACTGGCATCGGCCTAGGTCCCCATCAACGAGCAACAGATATACTAACAAGTGACATGGCTAAGAACAGGTACTTTGGATTCCCACCCTATGTCAAATACAAGGAGTTCTGCAAAGAAAAGCAATATACCTCTTTCGAGGATCTGTCTAGTGACATAGATCCTGAGGTAAGTAAAATTAGAGAAATTCTTTATTGTTCCTCTCACAGGAAATTTCCATTCTCCATTTTGTATGGCGATAAAAACATTTAATAAGCTTCCTGATGACATAAAAACTCTTTCATGAATGGTTAGTTTCCAAGTGTTTTTACACAATTAAAGAGTTTATGGAATCTTAAAATGATAAATTGTATCTCATGACATTTAGATTTATATAGCTACAAATTGACATATACCATAATAACTAATAATTATATAAAAAATCGATAATTTAATGAAATTTAAGATTTTTATGCTTGATATAAGCAGACTTTGCAAGAGCCATGTTTTTGTATAACATCATATATGAATATACCCAAAATCAACAAATAAATTTATTATTATTATTAAAAAATACAGTTACATAACCAATTGTATAAAAAGATAAATACACACTAATAAACAAGGGGTGTAAGAAAATGCGTAAAGGTGTTAAGTCCACAATGTGTACCTTTATTTATGCATTGAAGTTTTAATAAATAAATAAAATGTTCCTTATTAAATATTCCTTATTGTTCCTTTCACATAAAATACCGTTACATACATACATACATACCCAATTATATTTGAGAGAAGTTAATAGAGTCTTGCGTTCGACTGCATCACACTTCCAGCTAAAGATGGAGAGAAGCTTTTATCGTTATATTTCACTCAATTTACATAATATCTTTTTAAATTATGACCTAAGTATTATTCTGATATATAAGTTATATTGCTGTAAAGTTTAATCAAAATACGGTCAGTAGTTTTTGCTTGAAAGAGTAACAAACATCCATGTACTCACAAGCTTTAGCGTTTATGAATTTGAAGAGTTTGTAAATGATAATATACTTTTTGTAGAATAAATCTATCTTTAGAGTCCATATTACTTCTTATTAGAATTAATACGGATGGTAGGAAAAAAAATATAATATAAAAGAAATTACTAAAATGTCTTACAGGAATAAATTATTTTTGAATTTGAATTTGAATAGAGTTGACAATATTATATGATTGCACAAAGATTCAGTGCGTAGCAGTTTCTATGTTGATTGTCGCATGACTAGTCCTTATTAATGTGTATTTAATTAGAACAACATACAAGTTTCTTTCTCATTCTTCTTGTGACAAGTCTGCGTTCCGAATGAGTGGTAGAAATAAAATATGACTATTCAAAAATGCTTATATTAAGTTTATTTGAATGTACATTATTTCTATTTCTATATATGCGATGGTTATCACTTGCCGTCAGGTGGGCATTATCTATATATATAAATAAAATTGGAGTGTCTGTTTGTAATATTAAAATAACAGTTTACTACATGCATGTGAATATAAATACGGTACATACATGAAAATAATTTTTTTTAGAATTTTTGCCTGTTTGTCTGTTTGTTCCGGCTAATCACTGAAATGGCTGGACCGATTTTGACGGGACTTTTTTTGGCAGGTAGCTGATCTAATAAGGAGTAACTTGGCTACTTTTATTTTAGAAAAATAAAGTTAAGGTCCACGCGGACGAAGTTACTGGAACAGCTAGTTAATAAATAAAGTTAATTATATGTATAGACTACCTGATCCCGTGACTACGTCCGCGTAGAATTTAGCTATATTTTCTAAAAGAAAAGATTTTTTTTTAAAACGTTTATATCAATATTACAAATAGATACTCCAATTTTATTTATATGTATATATAATAATACTATTTTTCAGCGTTTAGAACTGCTCAGAGAAATTTATGAAAACGTAGAAGACATAGACCTCCTAGCTGGTATTTGGAACGAGAAGTTAATTAAAGATGGTTCCGTACCGAGTACATTCTACTGCATCGTTGTAGAACAATTAATAAGGAGTATAACGTCGGACAGACACTGGTATGAGAGGTCTGATAGACCCAACGCTTTTACTCTCGGTGAGTGATTGATAACAATAATACCGGCGGACGGACGAATTTTGACGGCCACGGTGGTCTAGCGGTTTAGTACACCGCCTTACTTCCGATGGTCGCGGGTTCGATTCCTCGCACACCACATACATTTATCTGTTTAATACCAATTGACTTTCAATGGTTTCGATTTAAGCATACATAGGGACGGACCGAATAGCGACTTTGTTTTATACTACGTAATGATGTGTATCAAATAAACGTATTTACTTTCTTTCTTCTTTGATTTTTCTAAATCTTCGAAATATAAAATATATAACAAATGACTGATAGATATATTATGTAAATTTTTTTCAGAACAACTTCGTGAAATAAGAAGGACTACAGTTTCTCGTTTGTTGTGTGATATAGCAGATACTGTAACTGAAATACAGCCGCATGGATTCCTTAGAACGAGTCACAAGTAAGTATATAATATTACTTTTGTTTTTAAGTATTTATTATTGTTCAAAATCTACCCTGTGCCATCGTGGGCACAGATTGTTGTATTGGAGTCCGTTGGTTTGTGTTACCGCGGTTTCTGTTCCCCTCCCTTACCTACAGTACTGAACTGACCGTACAGCGGCCTTGACACGCGCGCGCATTGTGTTGTGAATTAAAATAAATTAGAACTGTGTAAACCTACTGTGAAACTGGAGAGCTAGCGAAGATATCTTCTAGACCCTGAAGCCCAAGAAATCCGCAGAACCATACAGGTACGAGACAGACGCTTCCACATATTTTTCCCTATATATATATATATAGTAAATTCCCTAACATTTTGGTAGCAGAGAGTATTTTCCCTAACAATTATCATATATATTTATACATCTTCTTGATATATAATAAACTACCGTGCTTTATTCCTCTTCGATCTAATTCAAACGGGGATCTAAATTACAGCGGTCTGAGCTGAAGTACGAACCCCTAGCAGTGCTAACTTTTTAGCCCTTTTTAGCCCCAGCTTTTGTTTCTAATACTGTTGGCCACAGCTGACCTTTACAGCTTCACCGAACAATAGGGGGCGAGTGCAGATGGCACTCCAAACCCGTGGAAGTGCTTATGGAGCAGCTAAAGGACAACTCCCGGCTGACGGATATAACTTTAGTCGGAGGACATCGCTAGGAGTTCGAACCTCGGCTCAGACTATCGTAATTTCGTTGCCCGTTTGAATTCGATGTTGTTTTATGGGGAAAATAGGTTACGTAATATCCAGAATGTATGCGCAAAACCAGAAGACCTAAACATCAACTTTGCTTTCTGTAGTTTATTATTTTTACGATTCTTACTTCATTTTAACATTAATATATTAATAACTATGTACGCGGATACAATGATTTTACTGAGCAATTAATTTATTCAATTTAAGTACATTCATCACATCGTCTCTTTTCGTCTTTTTATCTTATTTTCTGTTTCGTTGTTCCTTCTCTCTCATTTTTCTTTTATAATATTATAATTACTTTTCAGGAATAAGATACAAGGCTGCGACAAAATTAGAAAGGTTAATTTCTCAGTTTGGAAAGACAAACGGTGTTCGAAGCATTGACTGAATTGTTTATTGAATATTTGTTTACAATAATAACAGTTCTATATATATTATAACATTCGATAACAATAAAAGACATTAAATTTTTTTATAGTTATTTTGGAGTTGTGACTTTGTCTTCATTTCAACACCTACCCTGTTAAATCTAAGCATATACATTATCATCATACATTACAGAATACAATAATGCCGATGGCAACTTTTTGATAGTTTTTATGTTTTTTATATATATTTGAATTTTATATTTTGACGTTCTGTTTTTATATACTATTTGTTTTCTTATGCCATATGGTCTTTATATTTTTGCTAGCGAGCTGATTACACTTATTTTACCTCACCTAGGAACGTGTCTCATTTTAAACCAGCCTTAATACAGTCCATCCTTCCTTTAACAAATGTGTTATATATATATATTATTATATATGTAATAAAATATAATATGTAACAAAAGGTATAACCAAATAGATTTGATATTAATATTACTCAAGAATACGTCGCTCAAAATTTTTTGGGATTTAAAATATATTAACGTTTTAAAATCAATCATAGCCAGTTACTCCTTATAACATTAGCTATCTGCAAGTGGAAGTCTCGTCCAAATTCGTCTACCCGTTCCCGAGATTTTCAAGAACAAATAGACAGACAGACAAAAATTTACACAAATATTTTTTAATCTAAGTACCATATATGTATATGTACTTTTATATGTATTTAGTGAAAACCTGTTAATTTGAAATTACAAACAGATACTTTTATTTTATTTATTTGTATAGATTGACTTAGAAATGAGATCTGATGGATTTTATTTTATTTCCTTCGTCTTAAAGGATTTAGAATTTAAAAATAGATAATTCAATTATATTAATACCTATTTCTGCAACTCGTAATTTCCTTTAGAACCTTCAACGATGGAAGCCGTAACGCTGATCGGATAAGGAAAAACGGATTATATGACAACGAAGGTATTTTTTATAGGATAAAAATGGAGAAGAATTATATTTATCACTAGCTGTCCCGGCAAACGTTGTTTTACCATATAAATTAATAACGCTATAAAAAAATAGGGTTGATGACAGAAGGGTACAAATTTAGGATTGTATGTATTTTTGTATGTTGTATCATAAAAAAATTGAAACTAATAATTTTGTCTAAAATATAAAAAATAAAAATTTAGGGGTGTACTACCCCTAACATTTAGGGGGATGAAAAATAGATGTTGGTCGATTCTCAGACCTACTCAATACGCTCACAAAATTTCATAAGAATCGGTCAAGCCGTTTCTGAGGAGTATGGAAACGAAAACTGACACGAGAATTTTATATATAAGATTACGAAACTCTTACAAACTTTATTTTTAAAGTATTGCGTTTAGTACACATTACTTATTAGGATATTTATGAGGGAGGATTTTGTTAAGATGTCTTCCGGGCTGAAATGAAGACGATGAGGACATATTACATTTTTTTATAATACATACGAGCTCGCGGCGCGCCTGATGGTAAATGATTACCACCGCCTAGGAGCACACGCAACACGAGGAGAATTGCAAGCACATTGCCGGTACTTTAAAAAGAAGTTAGCTCTTTTCTTGAAGGCTTAATATCTTATCGGTTCGGAAGAATTGGAAGTGCGTTGCCAGCCTTTTGAGAAGGTAATATCTTTCGTGAAGGTTTATAATTACCGGTTCGGAAATATCATTGTTGGAAGGTGATTCCACAATGTGGTTGTGCGTGGCAAAAAGTTTCTAAAGAAACGCATAGTGGAGGATCGCCATTTATCCAGATGTTCAGGACGGTATATAACATATATACTGTATATAAAATATAATTAAGAGGGTTTTAAGACGAATAATATTATGTAAATAAAACTTTCTCTGGTTTTGGATTGAAAGGTTTGGTTTTGAATTGATTTAAACCAACGTTACAATTATACGCAGTGAATGGATGTGGAAGGCGGAAGATCGCACGTGATGGAAATCATTAGAAAAGGCCTATAACTAATGGTGGTTAGACATAGGCTAAAATGAGGATTACAAATATCAAAACATAAAAGAACTTATTTAAAAATCTAGTTATTGTAGCGAGCAAAAACTAGTGATCCTAAAAAAGCTATACGGTTTCTAAAACTGTGGTTATATCAAGTCACGCTAAACCGTCTGTTACAGGCTTAACGTGCTGGTGACGTGTTAACACTTAATTACAATAGCCAACTATTGCTGCAGACACGTGTTGCTTGTTAAATTCAGACCCTTCACTTTGACCGTGAACTTTTTGGCCCAAGTTATAAGCGGTAGCGGGCATAGCTTTAAACACGATTGTGTTAAAAATATTTTTGATATTAAATAATATATTCGTTAAAATAATATTTACGTCATAGTCGTATATTTACGAAATAACAAACTAATTTATCTCAGTAATAATACCTGCCAGCTACTGCCTTCTCTCGGATTAACAATAATAGTAAATAATAAAAAAAATAATAATATCAAATGTCGGTTTTTATACCATCCATTCAAACACGCAGTTTTTGGTACGCCAAATTCGAACCGGGACCTTTAGATACAAGTCAGGGTGGTAAAGCACTACGCCACGATACTCTTTATCTATTATTGTATATCAATCTATGTATATTATAAAAATACTATATAGACTGTTCCTAGCAGGGAGCTAGTCTAATTCCGTGGCGTCTAATGTAAATTAATCAAAATTATGTCAAAGTAAAAATATAATTTACACAAAATCATACCAGAAACATCGCATGTCAAAAGTTATCAATTTTTTTCGTCATGAATAATGTTCATTCATAAGTGCTACATTAACAATATTTTATAGGTATTACAGATATTTTACATTGTATTATATCTGTACATGTTGTTTTCTAAATTTCTATAAACAATAATAATAATAATAATCTCAGGACAATTCACACAGCGCATTTAGACCCAAGTTAAGCTAGCTAAAACTTGTGTTATGTGTACTAGACAACTGATACAAATATATAGATATATATATATTTTCATAAATAATATATATATTTTTTCATAATACATAATATACATATAAAACACCCAGACCGATACAAACAATCATAGTCATGAATACAAATGTTTGTGCCGTGCCAGAAATCGAACCCGCGACCGTCGGACATAAAGCGGTGTGCAAGACCACTAAACCACCGAGGTCGCCAAAATAAATACGTTTACAAAAACTAAATACGTTATTTATGTTACAATTAGTAATACACAAATTATATTTTAAAACCACTTTTTAAATATATACACAAGAAAAATATCACACGTAAAACTTAAATTCCTTTTTTAAATTTAATTAAGTCACACATGCTTGTCGCTTATGACTTGCACTATTGCAAACGATTAATCGATCGTGTATAGTCAGCCTTAATTGGCGTAAACTTTCGGGTACCCGACTGTATAAAATCGACCACTGTTTGTGACAGTGGAAAGACGAGGAGTCAGTTTACAGGTTTTTTGATTAATTTCCTCTTGTTTAGTTATATAACTAATGTAGAATCACAATTAACGACCTCAGTGGTCGAGCGGTTAAGCACACTTTGCTTTCCATAGTCGCGGGTTCGATTCTTCGCACGTTACTAACATTTGTATTCATGAGTATGTTGTATCGGTCTGGGTGTTTTCTATATATATTGTGTTTTTTTTTATTGGGACAATAGCCCAAATAGGGCTATTGTCATGTGCTTGGACCTGTAGCACTGTGACCTACATAGATCTATTGCGTTCGCCCTTTCAGAGTTCGCTACGTAGACCCGTCAGGGACAAGTACTTAAGGATATTCTTAGGAGCGATATGATAACGTATATACCTATATATTATGTACAGATTCAGATATACATATAGATATA